ATACATTTTTTTAAAAACTGAGTAACCCTTACTCCCCAACTTAAAGGGACTTACATTCAAACAGATATAATAATATAAAATCACACTAACATGGGTTACAGTATGAGGAGTGCTGCAGATAGAGAAAATGCCATCTGTGTTCAATGGAGAAAGAAATCAATACTGAAAGGTAATCTAAATAAAAAGACTAACAATAACTGCAAGTAAATCACATTTTAATAAAATTTCATTTTATCTGAAGAAATAAAAAGACTACACATTTCTCAGACATAATATAAATATCATAGCTACTATTTCCTGACAGTTCATGTTGATAGTTGTAGAATTAGAGTTATAACAAATGTCTAAACTCCAGAGCACACTACTTCCCACCGCTGTGATATTTTCTACAATTTTAGACACAGGAGGAAAATGTCACCTGGCCACATTTTTCTATCCTCCTTCTACACAGCAACAAAGATCTTAGAAATTTGCTCTTACACACTGTAGAGTTTATTTTCAACAATAAAACTGAAGGGCAAAGGGGAAAAAAATAACATTTTTAAAACGAATTTTTAAAATTCTAGTTTTCCTAACCAATGTGTGAGTGGAAAGTAGTCTCCTAGGACTGTGTCATTCCAGGGAGAGAGAAGCCCCAGTGGGTGGATGATTCTGTGAACTTCCTGCACAGAATTTCCCCGCTTAGCAGCTCCGTAAACGGGCTCCTGCAAATAGGCAACAATAACTGCCAAAAACACTGTGAATGGACAGTGTCCTTTCAGGTAAGCAGCTCTGGCTACTCATAACGAGTGTTTATGATCATAGCAGCTACCACACCCAACACACTTCTGGCCACAGAACCTGCCAAACATACATAACTTTTCCACCTTGACCTCTTTCCATGCTAACAGTTTGCAGTAAAACAAATAGCTTCAAGTAACTCTGCAAATAAAATATTAAAATGGAAGGTGATGGATATGTTCACTTGTTTGTAGTAATCATTTCCTATGTATATGTATATCAAAACTTCATGTCAGTAAATCTGAATGCTCTAAGACATTTTTCTATATTTTAAAGAAAATCAGAAATAAGAGAGGAAACTCTACTCTGATATCTGTTAAAAGTATTTCCTGTACTAAATTGGAATGTTACAAGGTATGCATGTGGTGTAAATTCAATAGAGATAAAATGACTTATGCTCCATTTACTTGTTATATCTACCGTATCTCTTATCCAAAAGATTTGAAATTGTATCACAATAAAACACACAAATAAATTTAAAAAAAAAACTTCATGTTGCACAACTTAAAGATAAAATATAAAAAAATATTTTTTAAAAGTACTCTTCTATACCCCCTCCTTGGTGATATGCAAAACAGCAAAAACTTATTTTTTTATTATTTATGTGGAAGAAATTGTCACTTACCAGGCATGGCCATCTAAGTGGGCAGATATCACAGTAACAGACTTGCAGAAGAGGGAATGTGGACTGTGCAAATAAAATTCCATTATTACACAAGTCCCTGCAGCTTTCAAGTATATCTGGAGTTTTCTAAAGTTTTGTCAAATTGGAAGGCATATATGTGAAGTGATTTTAGAGTCTGGACATTGCTGAACACAGAAATAACTGCAAAGACATCACAAAGGAAGAGGGCCTGTATGGACAGATAGAATTCCAACAGGCAGAGGTGAGAGAAGCACATTCCAGAAGCCGGCAGAAGAGCACACGCAGTCAGAATGGCACCTGTGAGAGGCAGGTACCGAGCCTGTGACTGGCACAGGCACTTCTGGCAGCCCCTGTGAGCAACACAGAAAGTAGGTGGGACGGTCACAAAGGGATTTGAATGTCCCATCTTCCTTTACAAGGAGGTTAGGACTTTCCTGGAAAATCAAGAGAAGCCACCGCAGATCTGGGACTGGGGAGGGACCAGTCCCACACCATTTACGAAGAATGTTCATTTGCAATTGTTCAGAATAACCCCACACAATGACCTTGACATTCCCTAAGCTCCATGTCAGCAGGTTTTACATTAAAACAACATCAACGAGAACAGCACGAATCTGACTCCAGAAAGTCCACAGAAATAACGTAAATATTTGCAGAAATCTCTTGAAAAGGCAGAGGCAGCAAAGAGGACATGACATGCACCAATGCTTTCCGAAGTCCCCTCACACTTCTGTCTCCCACATTCCACACCAATTTCTTTTCTTCTGTCACAAACTTCTCCAAACCTCTTCCCTACTCCCACCATGGCCCATTCCTCAGCCTTCTGATCTTGCCTTTCTTTCAGTGGGCGAGAGCACCGATCCCCCTTCTTTCCGCAGAGCCTGAGGTGGGAGTCCTCGTTCATTCCATTCTGCTGTGTGATGATCAGAGACAGCAGGTGGGAGCACAGGACAAGAGGGCAGGGGTGAAGCTGGGAACAGCATGCATTTTCAGTCCTCCCCGCAGCGAGACAGAGGGCAGGGGTGCTAACAGTGCTAGGGAGAGGATCAGAAGGTCACTGTAATGCTCAAGCTGGGCTGAACTAGGGTAGTGGGAGGATGACAGAAAGGAAGAATCGGCCGGGCATGGTGGACACCTGCAGTCCCAGCTAATCAGGAGGCCAAGGTGGGAGGATCGCTGGAGCCCAGGAGGTGGAGGCTGTAGTGAGCTACGATGAAGCCACTGCACTGACACTTGAGGCAGGATTTATTAACGAAATTGAGCTCTTCAAGAACAACAGTCAAAAGTGTTGGTTAACTTCATATTCCAAGCCCTTCAGAGTGACCTCAAACGTGTGTCGAATGGCTACACGAATGGACGCACACGTGCATGAACGATGGGTGGAAGGAGAGCCAAGGACGGTGAACCACGAGTGTCTCTGGGACACTAACACGCACCTCCTCCCCTCCCCCACCCCAATCTTGGGGCGTCCTCCCGGCCCTCCTGCCTCAGGCTTTCCTATTTGCTGTACCCTCTGCCTGGCAATGATCCCCCCACCTCCAGCCTCACATCTGCGTTTACTGAAGTTGTCTAACCTGCCGAAAAGGGAGAACGCACAACTGCAGGTGCAGCAAAGATTCCAGAACCCAGAACGGTACGTTAGGTCTGGGTAATAGTGGTTACTATATTGCTACAGAATTCCAGGCACATCTGGCAAGGATGACAGTCCTTGACCTCTAGGACACGGGAGGTATTTCCTCCTCAGCGAACTATAACGCCTGCCACTCCCTGATGTGTCCCACGAGAACACCCAGATAGGTCCTTGTCCTGTCTAGTCTCACGTTCTCATGTCCGTGTTTGTCCCGGAGCCGTGTCCATGTGTTCCATTCACAGGCTCGGGTAGGGATGCAATGAGCCACCTTTCTTCCCCCGTGTGTGAACGAGGTGCAGCAATCGAGATGAGGCCGCAGACTGCTCTAGAAACCAGTGGGCTTCAAGGGCAACCACAGGTCACTGTCAGGCTATGCTGTTTTTTTAAAACTTCAGATTGTTGTCGCTTTGATGTTAACATTTAATAAAATGTTCTGTTCTATCCCTGGTAACTCACTTCAGTGAGTCTCCACTGTCTTTGAACCGCAGAGAAACTATCTGTCCAACTTAAGTGAAACCGAGGGTCTGAATTAGCGTGTTACCATAAATGTTTCTGTAGTTTGAGACTTTCTCCTACCCTTTCACATTACGAAGTGGCATTTCATTTTCTGAGATAAATACTTGGGCTGACAGTAACTTAAGTCAAGGTGCATGACCAGTGCGGCCCCATCGCTGCATCCACAGCTGTGGTCGCGGTCCGGCCCCACCCCGGCTCCGCACTGGCGGGCGGGGGACGGAAAGATCTACCCGCTTCCTCCCCGCACCGCCGGCGCCCTCCCCGCCCCTCCCTGCCCTGCCCACTCAGTGCGGTGAGCACGCGCCTCCCCGCGCACCCCGCCTGCTCTTCTGGGGAGCCCCGCGCCCGCCCTGAGTAGCTTCATCAACTCCGTGAAAATCCGTGGAATGAATGAGCATATTTTTATGTCGTGACTATTATGCAAGAAAAACGATACTGAGAAATCCCTCTTTTCTTTCTGAGAAGTGACGCACGCAGCGGAAGAGGCCTTCCAAGCCGTGGCGACAGCCAGGCGGAAGCTGGGGGCATCCCGCGGCGCCCCCGGGGTGTGTCCTCGCACCCAGGCGGCGAAGGCCACCGAGTAGCCCTCGAGCCTTCTGCGCCCAGGCTGAGCCAGCAGCTCCCCCTCGCGCTGTTTCTGCAGGGTCTGAACACCCGTCGGGCAGCTTCTCTCTTCCGCCCGCCCTGCCCTCCTTCCCGCCCGGCTGCCCGCCGCCCCCGAGCGCCTTTCCCTGAGCGCGTCACCTTCCTCCGCGCTCGCGCGACTTCTCTACCTTGGGCGTCTCACGACCCTGCACAGCGGCTCCTTGCTCCGCTTGCTCGGTCCTCCCACCTCCCTTGGGCATCTAAGTAGCAGGAACCTGAGTGTCAAAGGTTCTGCGAAGCCGGCAGCGGCTGCCCCTTCTAACCTGACCTAGGAAAGGTCCGAGTTAACTGGCCCACCGCGGCCTGCGAAATCCGCCGTGTGTCGCCATTCCCTGAGGCCAGCGCAAGGCGGGAGCAAACGGGGTTCCTGAGAGAGTTCGGGTGTCAGAGGGCGGTAATGCTAGATAATTCTCAAAACTCCGGAAGGCCCAGAAACGAGGCGCCAACAGGCACACAAGCTGTCCGCTGTCCCTGGGCGGGTGGGCGGAAACCCACGTCTTTCGGCTGCTCCGCCAGTTTGTTTCCAGGCAGAATTCCCACGCCTGGGAAGGGGCACGGAAAGCTGGTTCCTTTGCCAGCGGATTTTGTTATTTAAATCCCAACCGTGGCCAATCTAATAAACTCATCACCTCTTTCCCCGAGAGCCGGGACTCTGCAGAGATGTCCCGTTGTCTGCGGTGCTTAACCCCGCTTCCCAGAGCGAGCGGCGCGCGGGCGCCGAGGGTCACCCACTGAGACCCAGGCCAGCGCCCAAGACGGGCGGGCTGGGACGGGGCGTTTTACCTGCGCTCCTGACGGCGCTGGGAGCTGGGCGGGCCGCGGCCGCAGGCAGGAAAAGCAACGGCTTCGACTCCCTGTCGGCGACCCGGGCTCCCCTACGCCCCCGGGGCCTTCCGTGGATCCCGTGAGGGGACAAAGCCAGGGCCAGCAGGAGGAGCGCGGGCAGCGGGGCACCTGGCCTGGCCGGGCGCATGTCCGCGTGCCTGGAGGAGAGCGGGAGGCTCAGGGCGGATCCCCGGCGGGTCCGGAGGGTCTGCAGCCCAGGAGAGGGACGGGGGGTCGGTCGCAGTTGCGGGCTGGCAGGAGTCCTCACGGCCCGCCTGTCCTTGTCTGCGTCCGGGGGCGTCGGGCTGCAGCTGCACTGAGACTCAGCCCGAGCGCGCAGGAGCCGGTGCGCTGGGGGCGTGGGCGGGCTCGGGAGGCGGGGCGGTGTCTGGGGACCCCGGGGTCGTCCCACCGGCCGAGGGCGTGTCTCAGCGCTCAGACCCTCGATGTCCGCGCTGGCTCCCCTGGCGGATACCAGCCTCAGGCTCGGCCTGGTCTTCGGGCTCCCCACAGAACGCCTCCGCGGGGTCCCGGGCACTGCGCTCGGATTAGGGGACCCCGCCGCATCGCGCCCGCCCCGCCCCAGCTTTACTGGTCTCTGCGTCGCGGCTTGACCTGGCCAGCAGCGCAGCCTCGATGTCTGGACTGAAGAAAGAAGCGCCGAGCTTCGGCCTGGGGCGGGTGGAGATCGCGATTCCCGAGGCGGACAGGTGCGGGGGCTCACCCCCTGCTGCCGAGATGCCCTGCTCCTCCCGGGAGCGCCGGCCGTCCCGTCGCACCTGCCGCCCTGCCTCCGCCCGCCGGATGCGCCCCGCGGGCCGGCCGAGCGCAGGACGGAAGAGGTCTGTGGCTCTGCCTGGGGGAACACGGAGCTCCCCGGACTCTCTGGGCCTCCTCCCGGGAGTCACCAACGTGAGCGCTTCTGCAGGGGAGATCGCCCGGGTCGACCAGTACGCCCAAGGACGCGGACGGCTTCAGTTGCCCGGGCTAGAGTGCCGTGGCCTCAGCCTAGCTCACAGCAACCTCAACTCCTGGGCTCAAGCGATCCTCCTGCCTCAGCCTCCCGGGTAGCTGGGACTACAGGCATGCGCCACCGTGCCCGGTTAATTTTTTCTATATATTTTTAGTTGCCCAGCTAATTTCTTTCTATTTTTTTTTAGTAGAGACGGGGTCTCGCTCTTGCTCAGGCTGGTCTCCAACTCCTGAGCTCAAATGATCCGCCCGCCTCGGCCTCCCAGAGTGCGAGGATTACAGGCGTGAGCCACCGCGCCCAGCCGACTAGGGCTTTTTAAGATAGGGAATCCTCCCAAAGTGTTATCATTGCTAACAATTAAAAAATGAAATTAGGCCACTCGTTCTGATTACAATGAAGTGAGCATCTCTGATCAAATCGTGCTCTGTAAATCGTGGTAGAGCGCCTGCCTGCTTTATGGCTTTATATAAAGTACATTGAGAAGTGTTGAAATTGCTCGGCCGGCAATTGATTGCTAACTATCTTCTCTCAGGCAAAGTGGCAAACAGGTGAAAGAAAGGGAAGGAATAACCATGGGAAGCCGAGGCCCCGTTATCCATCCGGCACTGAACTACGCTGTTACTCTACAAAAAGACATCTCGTCTGTCACAGATCCTGAAAAATAATCCCGACTCATCCTGTTGGTTTATTTAGGTTTGGCATTTCCAACAAGCCCAAGAAATTGGAGAAATAAAACAAGCCTCACAGGAGCTCTATAAAATCATGCCTTTGGATGAAACTTCCTTTTGAGGAAGTCATACAGGTGAAAACTGCCTCTTCCAATCACTTTACTGTTTTATGTGTTTGTTTAATCTACTCCACGGAGCAGAGGCTCGTTCTCCCTGCAGAGGAGAACCAGCCACTTTACTGTTAAAGCAGCACAAAATCTGGTATTGCCTAAGCAAACCCATTGGCCTAAAAGAATGGCTTCCACCGTGGGAGACACGGAAGAGCCTTCGGAGAAAAATAAATTAAGAGTCTCTGAAGGCCCTAATTAGGTACAATAAACCGTTTCTAAGAGCTCTAGTAAAATGGAATAAGAAAACCTTAGAAGTTCACAGACATTGACAAGCATTTGGAAAATTAATTTTTATTAGAAAATAAGTTAGTGACTACTCTGAAAAACAGTGGGAAAATGCTGTGTGAGTAATACTGGAGAAGGAGGGGTACGGACACAGCAACAAGAAATGAGAATCAACTATCAGGGAAAGGCAAACAAAACCTGGAGATGGGATTATTTCCCTGTTCTCTGCACATCGAAAGTTAGGGGAAGCAAACCAACCGATGAACTTTCTGGAACCTGACAGTCTGGGCTCTACTTCTCCCTGGATCATTAGCCGTGTGACCCTGAGCAAACCGTTTAGTCTCCATGTTCTCTCTGAAAAAATGAAGGGGTTGAACTTCAGGGGTTCTCAGACTATGTAGCACATGAAAAGGGGCGTGAGGTGTGTGAAGAATGCAGATGCCCACACCCCTGGGGACCCATTTTAAGGCACTCTGGGTAGTTCTGCACCAAGTGATTCTTGAAATCCACTTTTATTTATTCAACAAAAATTATTTGAATGCAAACTGTGGGCCAAGTAGTGCAAACACAGTGGAGCCGCATCTGTGGATAAAAGGACAAAATCCTTGTCTTTGCGAAGCATCTAGCTTCAGGGATCTTGTTCCCCAACGCAATGATTTTTATCATAAATAAGCAGTTGCTTATAACTAAGTTACTCTTTGCTTTTGTTCTTTGTTGTGTTGATTGTATATCCTTGACTAATTCTTACTGCCCCAACTAAATGCTACGTGCCCTACCTCTTGCTAGTTAGTTCAGGGGCAACTTGAAGTTGATGTTCATGTTCATGTTGATACAATCTCAGTTAACACTTGCTAACTTATTATTTAATGTATAAAGGAGGGGTTGTCTGTGTAGGAAGAGATACTTAGACAACAACTAATGTTTTAAACAATTCAGTTTTTTATAAGTGTACATGTTAAATGCTATTTTGTAAGCCTTGAAACTCATGGCATTTATATTCTTTATAAATTAGCCAATAAATTGAACAGACAAAGTTCCCCTAAATATTTAACACCAGCGTACCCTATTACACATTTCAAGCTACAATCACAAATTTAATATAATTAATTTTACAGCAAGGGCATCATAGACATTCTATTCATATTTTTGAGCTGAGATACTCAGATACAAAAATAAAAAATTGTTATATTCTTAGGGAACCGTTTGAATAATCACAAACTTTCGAAAAGTTTTTCCTATGCTGAAGACACATAAAACTTCCAAGTGATTGGGAATTATTCAAAAAAGTAAAAGGTCGTAATTTAATTTAAAAGTATTTCATAAACTCTGATATGTAAAATGCTACACAGAGTAACAAAGGCACCAGCTGATCGTGAAGGTTAAACAAGACAGCACATGTTGAAATGCCAAAATGTGAGGCAATGACAGCAAAATTGTAAGAGGCCCTGGAGAGGTGACACATTTCAATAATTCGTGTACTGAGGTGACAGAGGGATTGGATAAGTATGTCACCAAAATAGTAAATAAAGTAAAATGCTTTTAATATGTCCAGTTGACATAACTAAAATGGACCACTGAAAATGCTCTTGAATGCTTTGACAACTGTCGGACTGTGCTTAGAATGATAAAAATTAATCACAATACATGGTGCCAGCAATTTGCTGATGCTGTGTTGTTGAGCTGGTGTTAACTCGAGCAAGAATGGAGTATAGGAAGTGGTGGGCGTCGCAGTTCAGAAAACAGGCCCAGAAATGAGTCTACCTGGATTCAAATCCCAGCTCCACCACTTAACAGCTGCATGGCCGTAAGGGGGCATTGAACTCCCTCCAAGCCTCAGTTTCCACACTGTAAGGCGGGGATAATAATGCACCCCCTTTAGGTGCCTGCCATGTCTGGGTTAGACTTAATTTTAGGCTCCTTCGAAGTAAGTGCCACAGCAGAGATTTCAGGTCACCCAAAAAGTCTCTCTTCCTTTGTATGTAGGGCAACATTGGAATGGGAAGCTTATTCACCAATAGGTGGCAGTGGCGATTTAATTTCTGGACAAAACATTATAACAAAATCAGTACATTGCTAAAAATGCCTGACTTCGTTTTCCATATCTGCTATACATTTTCTACCAATTCCAATGCCCTTGCCACCCCTCAGCTCTATCCGCCGCTGCCCTGCGTGAGTGCTGCCTGAACAGTTTAAGTAGCTTAACTAGGCCCCCACTCTCAACGCTCTTCCAAACCACTCCTGGCATTTCTACCAAATCACATTCACAGAAGCTGATGTAATGTCAGTCTCCTGCTCAGACCTCGAGGGTGCGCCCCAGGTTCACAGCGCCAAGTCCAAGCAAACCGGTTTTCAAAACTGTCATCATTTGGAACCTTTATAATTTTTACTCTTACTTTGTTATCCAGCTGCACTGATCTTCTCAGTTGTTTGTTTTTCCGAGCAAGGGTATTCCATTTCTCTGAGCCTGATATATCCTTAGAGTATATGTTATTCATATACATACATATTATGCGTATATATGTATACGTATAAATCCTATATGCACACCACATACATATCCAACCTCACACTCTTGCCCATTCCCTGCAGCCTGCCTAGTTGAAGTTAATCTCTGCAATCCTTTTTCCCAAAGTATTCTATTCCTTTGAGGCTTTCTATCCCACAAGGACTGTTTTTCAAGATCAGATGAGAGATATGTCCGCTCTTTCAAAATATTGTAAACCTCCAGAGAGAGGGAGGGATATGCATGTGTTCATGGGACAGAGAAAGAGTACACCCAAAAGCATTAGTTGAAAAGTTTAACAAACTGTCACTGTGTCTTGATGACAAAATGTTTGTCAATACCATCACAAAGAAGCAACGGCAATTCCATGAAGGATAGTCTTTTCAAAAAATGATGCCAGAGAAATTGGACACTCATATCCCAAAACACACACACACACACCATACACCTTTCACAAATACTAACTTAAAATGGATAACAGACCTAAATATAAAATGCAAAACTATAACTTCTAGAAGAAAACCTAGGTCAAGAGAAAGTCCAGATGACCCTGGGTTTAGTGATGCGTGTTTAAATACATTACCCAAGGTATGTATAATCCATGAAAAA